GAACGAACGAACGAACGAACAAACGAACGAACGAACGAACGAACGAACGAACGAACGAACGAATGAATGAATGAATGAATGAATTTTAGTATGTCCCCGTATCATTTTTTAAAGAAAACATATAAGTCAAGGGCATAACTGGAAAGGAATATATTTTATATACCTAAAGAAACATATACTTGAAGCAGACATTGATTCGGAGACATGGATGGCATGAGAAATAGCATCATTACTGAGATATCTTTTTTTATTTACTGTAAACTCCAGGGTGAGGGCTTGGTCTGCTGACACATTTCATTACAGTGTGAGATCCACCCTATCTCAATAGTTTTTAGCTCACAACCACATTTTTGGAACACAATACTAAGGACCTATTTTACTTGGTTATGCAACTGGAGGCATGTTGAAACCATTCTACTGATGGAAATATTTTTATCGTTAAAACAGGAAATAAAAATTCTCCTTGGAGCCCTATGTACAGTACCAGAAACGTTTTGGAGAACTGGGAAGCCCTGCACAGCAGGATTTGAATGGCACAAGGACTGAGTGTAGGGAGGAAATGAACGTCCCAATGTATTAGTGAGCATCATCTAGCATAACATGAGATTCATGACTTAATGTATCTTGACCCTATAGCCTTATTCCAAGGGAAGGACTGTAACTCTGGTGGAGATGTGAATCAGCATATAAGTCTCGCCCCCATCCAGATGTCAGTCAGGTTTTCACATATTCCATGTGAAGGTCTGAAAAAGCACTTGCAGGCATGTTCTGGCTTATGCTGCTTATGTGATAAGGAGCCTGATAAGGAATTACTTTCCCAAATCAAAATAATCCCTCTTTTCCTTGCAATATTTCACACAGGATTTCAAGCCTCAGTCCAGCATGAGAAAACACACAATTTTGCTTCTATCTACATATTGAATTCTAGTGCTTTTGTTCGCTTCGACCTAGGTTGCAGTAGCACATTGTCATCAGACCTAGCCTTCAATTATAGATTAATACAATATATCTAAACACATTTACCTAGAATTTAATAAACAGCTCTTTAGAATTAAGCTGTTCCAATTTGCTTTCATTTCAGCTTCTGTCCATGCACGTCATTGCCAATTTCATATTACCTTCACCAAATTAGTCAGACCTTTGCATAAGCACTGATCCATACAATTCCAAAGAGACATGAGAATCTCATTAGACTAAACTCAGATCAAGCACTCATAAATTTGTTTGATGAAAGGGGGGGTTGAAAAAAGAAGAGAAAAAAAGAAAAACGTATTGGCAAAACAATACCTAATTCACCCATAATTATCTTTATCATTTTTTTATCAGCCCTGCCTGCCATGACAACATCTCTGCCTCCCAATCTGTTTATTTCCAAAATCAAATCCATCAATGCCTTCTCTACTGGATGGCCATTCATCACTGCCTACACCTTTTATTACTGTATAACAACTACAGTAACACTTCTGAACAGTGATCTATGCTTGCCTTCTTTTCCTATGGAATGATCTTACAGATTTTGCACCCTTTCATTTCATAGAGTAAAGATTTTTCAGTATAATTTCCAATGGTGGACTGAGAAGACTCTAAACAAGCAAAGCATACTTTAAAGCAGCCATTCTCAAGAAGGACAAAATGGCCCCCTGAGGTGCCGTAGCACATTTGAGGGGGGATGCAGACTGAAAAATGTAATAATGGGTTTTTCTATCATCTGTATCCTTGTTTGATGGGGGCCTTGGAACCTGAGAAGAACTCCTTAAAGGGCTGTGGCCAAAGGGAGGGAGAGATTGGGACGGAGTACTTTGAAGGTTATCACATGATAGTCCTAACAGTTTGGATTTTATTTTCGACATTTGAGAATACCAGATTAATGTAATAGTGGTATAACTAAAAGCGAATGGTTTCCCATGTAGAAAAATCTACAAACTTTGTGGCAAATTCTGAAGAGCCTATTTCAGAGGTGGGGGTCTTGTCAACACAGCCAACAGAGAAGGATGACAGCAGCAGCAGTCCAGTGTCAATTTGCTGCTATCAGTCCTCTAACAAAGCTTCCAGGAATTTTGACTGGAGATCCAGGTTGCAAAGCTTTGTAATTATACATTATTACAATGTCATACCTATTATGAGTTATTTTAAGGAGAAAGGTGGGATAAAAAAGCAGACAGACAGACAGACAGACAGACAGAAAGAAAGAAAGAAAGAAAGAAAGAGAGAAAGAAAGAAAGAAAGAAAGAAAGAGAGAAAGAAAGAAAGAAAGAAAGAAAGAGAGAAAGAAAGAAAGAAAGAAAGAAAGAGAGAAAGAAAGAAAGAAAGAAAGAAAGAGAGAAAGAAAGAAAGAAAGAAAGAAAGAGAGAAAGAAAGAAAGAAAGAAAGAAAGAGAGAAAGAAAGAAAGAAAGAAAGAAAGAATAAGGTAAGATATCATTAAGACCTCTACACTGCCAAATTTCAGAATTTAGGGAAACTGTATATCCTCCCTTACGTTTATTTTCAATATAAACTTCAAAAACAGACAAAGCAATAACTATAGTACCCACCTGAGGTGAAATAAGGGGTTTCACTTATTCTGTCAGGTTACTCATAGGTAATCTGTACTTTTTAGACTTATATCTCCAGATTCCAGAGAACAATATAGCATAGCTTTCACATATTGCTTCCACAAGGATAGATATTAACATCGCCACAGAATGAAACAATGGAATTATACCAAACTATTATGAGTTCTGAAAGAGATGGTGATGCCTCTTACAAACCTTTTAAGAATTATTTCTCTAAGTAATGCAAGTGGCAGAGCTTCAGTCTTTGACTTGAAACTATACTGACTTTTTGAAAAAATGACATTCTGTGGAAGAATCAATTTGGTTAGAAATGGATGGTTTAAATACAGACTAGGGAGTTAACTTCTCACCTATCTCATCCTCACAAGTAAGTGATAAAGGACTGCAACCTTCTCCTCTTCCCTGGTGAGAATGAAATTTTTTTTCTTCTAACCAGTAGAGTTCTCCCATTGTAGGAATGACGTTTTGTTCAAAAGTTGCCCATTTTGCACAAAATCTGTCCAATGTTGTGCAAAACTGTGCAGCTTGTATGAATTGCACAAATCCTAGAAAGTAGTATAATCACTGCTTTTTCAAGAACTCAAAGCACTGAGTAGGCTTTTTGTGTCTTTCCTTCTGTGCTTGCTTTATGTGTATGTACTTTGCTTCTCAAGGAAAAAGGGGCATTTTGCACTAATTACACAAATTTTAAGGTGGAAAAAAGCTCTCTGTCTTGCTTTTAGCTGGAAACAAGGAATCTCATAGAGCCTACGTGTCTTTTACAAAAACAGCCTAAATCAACAGAATTTTTAAAAAATATGGGAAACATTATCTTTTAGCCTTATACACATCTTAAGGAAAGGGAGAACCTTAAGACTAATGAACCAAACATTGATTTATATTAACAATCTCCCCAAATTGTATCCAAATGTCATTTGTATAGTGGTGCTTTGTTTGTTCGTTAGATTTGATAAGTCTCGTATGCTTACTTGCTGTACTATGATAATTGAAAATTACCTGTATTTTATTCAATATTCTTCAATTTTGGAAATTAATAATTTTAAAAATAAGGGAGATCTGGAACTCAGAGCTTCAGTATCAAAGTCTAAACCAAAATTGAAAGGTTTGCTGGGACTATTTTTTTTATAATTTAATAAGTGTATAAATAATAAAATAATAGAGTAACCAAACACCTCTTTACATTTAGAGATCAAAATTCAAGGACAAATAGAGACTCTGTTTCAAATATAAAAATATCAGAGTTGGGATCTAACTGCCTTGATCTTAGACTCATTATCCAATAATCGATCAATCTGTAGGAAGCTTTTCTTTAAGACATTCTTGTTTCTTGTGTAGATCTGAAAACATCATAGATGTGCTGTCACTTACCTTTCACTATTAATTCTGCATAATTGGAAACCCCTGATCCACCATCTGAGCGGATGACACATCGATATTTACTGATGCTTCGCTGGGAAGTGTCAGCTACACTGACAGTAGCAGAGAAACGTCTGTGGTTGACTACTCTGGTGACCATTAAAGCTGTATCCCTGCCATTCCATTGCTGCCAGATAAGAGATTAAAAAAAAACACACACACACAAAGTTAATATAACAATTCAAGAGAACTCTTTCATTATATTTTTGCTGTCACAATCCCAATTTAGAACATAAGATTAGGCACAATTTCCTCTAAATGAATTTCTAGTGTGAAATTGACTAGTTTTTAAAACTCAGTGTACATCTTTAAAATATATAAATCACATATTCTTCTGAGGGCATATTTCAGAATTTCATTTTGAATAGACATCATGCATTTTCTCAGACACTTGTACCTGTTACCATTCCTTAGATTTTTTTTGACCTTTAAATTAACTAGTAATAAAATACAGTATGTTCTATACATAATGTCAATCCACCATCTGTTACAGTACTCAGGGAAGTCAAAGCAACTTACATTATATCCATCAAGTCTATGAATTCAGCAATAACTTGGAAGTAACAAGTTACAAAAACTTTTGGAGTTAATGAGCAATGCTACCTTCAGTTTCAAGGCTACATCTTAGATGTAACAAATAACATTTAAGTTACTTAAGTGTAATAAGTAACAAGTAGTTACTTTAAAGTTTCTTTTAACGCCATTTTGAAATAAAGTCTTTAGATTTTTTAGCACTCTCTTATCATTCTTATGTGGCAAGAAAATTATTATGTAGTTTTGTTTTGCTACTTTTATAAATATTTCCAAGGTGCAATATCAGAATTAGTTAGAAGAAGGAACTAGAGAGTATTTCTATGTCCTTTTTGTGCTGCTGATAAGGACTAATCAAGCCATTAATAACCCACGGGGCATCAATTTACTTTTGTGATCAGAACAATAATGATAATGGCAACCTAGCTGCCAAGAACTAACAAATAAAGCAACAAATATCTTTTAAAATGAGCTCCAGTTTCTCTACTTAAGTTACATACAATCGACAGGAAAAGAGGACTGATGCCATCTCTTGCTCTTCAATTGTTTACAAGGACTTCACAGCTTTCGTCCTTTTGTCCAATTATGAAAGATAACTTATACACACATATTCATATGGCTCTGTGCAATTTATATATACATAGGAGTGCGCCGGGGGGGGGGAGAACTTCCAGTTCCATAACTCAATGGGAATCCCCAGGCCAAATTGTGGGATTGGGGGCCATCAAACAGCAGGAGTTAGAGCATCCCTCTTGCCTCCATGCCATTTCTGCACCATGGGGATTCCCTGTGACTCACACAGGTGCTTCTCATCCTCCTTGCAACTTGCACAGAATCCTCATGACTCACAAAAGTGCAGCAGAGTGCCCTTCAGAGGTGCAAAATATTGGCACAGCTGCTGTACCTCCTGCCTTTTGATGGCCTCCAGTCCCTTAATTAGGCCTGGGGAAATTCCCACCAAATTATGGAAGACTTCAAGAGTAGACTTCAGTCTAGATAGGCGGGGTATAAACAAACAAACAAACAAACAAACAAACAAACAAACAAACTAACTAACTAACTAACTAACTAACTAACTAACTAACTAACTAACTAACTAACTAACTAACTAACTAACTAACTAACTAACTGAGAGTACCTTTTCCCCAAAAGTCCCACTCCTATTCGCATGTTTATATTTCCAGCGTACTTAATCCAAAGAACAGCCTTACTCTACACAGTAAACCGGTCTGTTTGCCCTTCTTTCTTATCCTGGCAGGTTCTGCAATCCTAGATTGCACTTTATTTGCTGTTTAATGCAATGAATTCTTTACATCATCAGTTTAAATTGCTACCTTGAGGTGTTTGCAAGGGGGAAACAGCCAATAGCACAATACATAATTTACAATCTATGGTTTTGTAAAATATGATCTACTTCTATTTTTCATTCATTGAGAAACACTTGCAACCAAACAGCTGCCTATGGGAATGAAAATAAAGTTGTTGCACATAAAATTTAATCTAAAATCTCACATATTTAATAAGGGATTTTAATCCTGTATACTCAGAAGAAATTATAAGTGTGGTGCAATCATGTGTTTATTTACCAGGAGGTAAACTACAACTGAATTTACTGACTGCCTTTGGGGCCACAGTGTAAACTTGTTCCATAATATATATATTTTTGAATGAAAGTTTTCATGGGGGCTAGTCATGTCAGTCTATTGCAGCCAATACTCCAAAAACATTTTGTAGCAAATTAAAGACAAATAGATCAGTGCATAAAATTTATAAGTCTTTAAAATTCCACAAGACTTTTTGTTGTTCATAAATGTTTGGATTTGCAGAAATGCAAAAACAATGGAATATATGCTATTTCTGAAGTATCAAAGGCCACCCAGTGGCCAAGATGCATGAATTTAATTTATTCCTGGCAATATAACAGTACCTCAAATATTTACTTTAGCTGCCATTGTGTGTGCCATGTGCTGTTGAATCAGAACTGACTTAGAGTGACCCTAATAGGGCTTTTGAGGTAACTGTGTTATTTAAGTATTGGTTTCATCAGTTCCACACACACACATATTTCCATGGGTTCCCATGACTGAGCGGGAATTCGAAGTGAGGTCTTTTGAGTAGCTGGCTGTCACTCAATCTACTACATGCCACTGTCCCAGACTGGAAATATGTCATTTTGAATGAAAGAAAAAAAGACTGCAAGGACATGGGATGAACAATCAGGCCATAAACTAAATTGGATTTTGTTTCATTATATACTATGATCCTACATGCTTATTGTGAACTAAAACAATAAACATATGAGGAATTGTTTTTAAAAAAATCATCGTGACAAACATACAGCATACTACATTTCTTTAGTATAAGGTAAAGGTTCCCCTTGACATTTAGTCAGTTGTGTTTGACTCTAGGGGGCGGTGCTCATCCCCGTTTCCAAGCTGTGGAGCCAGCGTTTGTCTGAAGACAAACGTTGTCACACATGGCCAGTGCGACTTAGACCCAGAACGCTGTTTACCTTCCCACCGAGATGGTACCTATTTATCTACTCGCATTTACATGCTTTTGAACTGCTAGGTTGGCGAGGAGCTGGGACAAAGTGACGGGAGCTCACTCCGTCACGTGGATTTAATCTTACGACTGCTGGTCTTCTGACCCTGCAGCATACAAAGGCTTCTGCGGTTTAGCCTGCAGCGCCACCACATCCCCTTTCTTTAGGATAGAAGATATAATTATTATCTACACTACAGAACACTTCTGGAATACAGCAAATGCAGGACTGAGTATTTAAGAGTCCAAATTTTTGTCTCCTGTTGCCCCCCCCCATATTCTACAAGCATCAACTTTCTAAAAGTCACTTGTATCAAGGGACATTTAATATTCATTTTGTTTTAGTAATGTAATTGGTTAATTCTGTTTTAATATTTGTGATTTTATTGTAGTCTAATGTTCTATTACTTTACCTTATTTTTAATCTTCCCTGAGTTCAAATAAATATAAATAAAGTATGTATACAAGATTTATTTTTTATTCTTTTTTTAATCCTTCCCCATGACCCAGCCCTTTTCTTCCTATCCACACAATAGAAATACAGAATGGAAGATAGATCAGCCCTACATTCGCTGGCTTTCCAGGGCGATATTCTGTATATGTACAACAATTCTAGCAAAGAGTACAAATATCCTGCTGCTCATGGGAAAGCACTTGAAAATTAAGACACTTGTTTGTGCTTTGAAAACAACAAAGGCTTCATGTCCACTTTACCTGTAGCCACAGTTTGTCATGCTGAGACCACTTTCCTCCAGCAATACACTGGAATGTTGCATTCTGTCCAACGTTAACCTCCACATTTTGAAGCCGCAGGAAATGAGGAGCTTTTCCTAACAAAAATACGAAATATTACCTGGGTAGAGCATCACAGTATATAATAATAGCACAGAGGTACGCTGCGATAGCCCGCCATTCAGAACAACTATTTCAGCTTTTTTACAGAACAAATAGTTGGGCAACACTCTGCCAGGATCTGTATATATTTTTCTTTCTTTCTTTCTTTTTTAAAAGAGACTTTATGTCTCTATTGCTTTAGCTGAAACCAATGAAGAAAAATATTGGCTATCTTGGCACAACAGTATTCTAGAAATAACAACATGCAATAAAGAAATTCAGTGTGCCCCAAGAGTGCATTTCAATTAATGTTTGTTGCCAGCAAATTTCTTCTTTGGAAGAATGGCCAGGGGGGACAAAAAAGAAAGAAATAACAGAATCATTCACAAGGAGAAGCCTGCAAAGAAAAAAAATGTAGCAAAAGCATTTTTTTCAGCTAAGGCCCTGATAGTCCTCCTGGTAGGAGATGCTCAAACTAATTATGTTCAGGTGTTATGCCAGGCCATAAATTTCCAAAGAGAAAATCACAGCAAGCCTTGGGTGTTTTAAATTTGCCTTCTTCCTCTCCAACATGAGTTCAGGAAGGTTGCAAATTTTTTGTTTCTGTATAACATTGACCACAGTTTAGTGTGTCTCTCAAACTTAAAAAAGCAGTTAATCACAGAAGAGTTGGAAGAAGCTTGTAAGGCCATCAAGTCCAACCCCCTGGTCAATGCAGGAATCCAAATGAAAGTAGATCTGATGTTAATGACATCCTTGGTCTATTTCAAATAAAGCCCAAGTCAGTTATTCTAGACAATGCAATAAGCTTTGATTAAACAAACAAACAAAAAAGTGAAAGCCTCCACATTCCTCCAGAATAGAGATAAGCACTTACTATGACTCAGTAGTTTGGCATCGTTTGGTAGACTGGGCCCACAGGTGTTGTGTGGGCACCCCAGATTCTGCCTCCTCCCTCAGGTACTCCATCAGAAGTTGCACCGTGGGCTTCCCTGCCCTGCCTGCCTCATGAGTGAGTGTGGAATTCAGTGTGCCCGAGCAACACTTGTGGGGCCAATCCACCGAACTACCAAACCATGGTAAGTATCTATTTCTACTTCAGAGGTGCAGAATAGTTGAGTTGGAAGAAGTTTGTAAGGCCATCAAGTCCAACCCCCTGGTCAATGCAGGAATCCAAATGAAAGTAGATCTGATGTTAATGACATCCTTGGTGTATTTCAAATAAAGCCCAGGTCAGTTATTCTAGACAATAACTAGAGTAGAATGCAGTGTGAGTGGGAAGACTGAGCATGTGAACCCACAGATCATTGTGGCAGATCATCATTATTGCAAGACAACAATAGGTGATTATGGCATCCAAACTCTCTGTTATACCTGTAAATTAGAGGTAAGTTGTCAAAGTAAAGCATTTACTCGTGTATTTAAAACGTGTACAGTGGTGCCTCGCTTAACGAGTGCCTCGCTCAATGATGAATTCGCATAACATGGCCTTTGCTGAAATTTTGCCACCTCACCTAACGATGTTTCCTATGGGGGATTTCCGCATAACGATGTTTGGGACCTTGCTTCACTTAACGATGACAGTTTTAGGTCCCCTGTTTCGCTTAACGTTTTGTTTTGACAGCCCTGTTTTCGCTATTTTAAAAATATTCTAAAATGTTTAAAAATGTTTAAAATGCTTGGAATCGTTAGTGCACCTATTAAAACCTTCGTTGAAGTAATTTGGCTTCGTTCTGAGTCTTTCTGAATTTTTGGTGATTTTTTTTTCACCATTGAAATGTACTGAATAGGCTCCTATTGGAACGGATTAACCGGTTTTCAATGCATTCCTATGGGAAATGGTGTTTCACTTAACGATGTTTTCACATAACGATGTTTTTAATGGAACCAATTAACATCATGCGAGGCACCACTGTATTTTCTTTCCAGAAAATCCCCCTCAGTTGTTCATGGGTTAAAAAAAAGAAAAGCTTCATGCATTCTTGTCAAGGCACCACTGTCCGAATTTTGCATACAACTAGATCTGATGTGGCTATGGCAGGATACGTAATGGGTTATAGGAATTGTGGAATGAAATTATGGCTGCAACACTGAAGTAAGGAAGATTTATGCCCCTTTTCTCACTGAAAATTCAGAAAAGCCCAAAACTGGCATTTGCTCAGAACACAGAAAAAACAGACCCTGTAACAAAAAGCTAGCTAATATGTGGTGTGCTGCCTTTATCACATTCCTGAACATCAGCCAGTGCAGTTAAATAGTGCTATGCTGTCCCTTTTGCTGGTCAGTAGTTTATCCATGTCACAATTTATTGATGTACTGGGTGTTGGCTGAGACAGGGTCATAGATCTGTCACATGAAATGGAGAGGCCTTGGTACAAAACAATACTGCTTCTGCAGAATATTTACAGCAAACAACTTTGACAGTTAGTACCTTCCATTCCCTTCAACTTCAATACATCAAAACGGACCTCTTTAACTGACCTATGTATGTTCCTATTTTGGATCCCCTCCAGTTACTAAGAGAGAAGTAAAGGAAATAAAATATTTGGATGATGACTTCATGTTCAGGCCAATAGTTCCCAGACCTAATGTGAACATCTGAATAGTACATCCTAGGGCCTAAAAATCTGAAGAGTTTTTTTTCAAAGTCATATGTACAAACATACCAGAACAGAGGGCTGGGAAGGATTAAACCTACTCTCTCTGTTTGCTGAGATGTATGGAGTATATGAGTGAATGTGTGTGTGTGTGTGTGTATGTGTAGGTGAAAGTTGTTTCTACCACGATTATTAGTATAGCCAGCAAAGATCACTCCCTGAAGCCAGGGAATATCTTTGCACTGCAGCCCAGTTGATCAGCTGAGCTATGGCAGAAACTGGTTGGGGTCCCTCTTGATCTGAGGCCGCACAAGCAGCAAAGCCATGGGCTAGGCATCCTGCACTGAAAAGTGCGACCTAGGCATATCTGGTGAGTAGTATAACAGGTGACTCCCCAATTGTTGCTGGAGCAACAGCCCCTAAGCCATCAACAAGGTGAGAGAGGGCCAACACAGTGGTTCCCATGGGGCTGCTCAAGTCTACTAAGAACGCTGGCAGAAGGTGTAGAGCATTCCTCATTGGCCTCCCATTGGCCAATGGGGAAGAGTTTTCTAATCTGGCTCTAGAGTGGCTGGCTGACAAATTCAGTAAATGCTGCAGATATGTGGAGCACGGGATCAAGGGTTCTACTCTGATCTATCTGCCTGATTTAAAAAGAGTGGGGACAGGAAAGAGAACAATTTCAGCCATTTTTGTATCTCACCACCTTCCCTTCCCTTTCCCTGTTTTGTAGGTAGTGGTATGGTGATTTAGATTTGGGTGTTAGAGGGTTACTGGTTGGTTATTATGGGTACTATGTGTCTCTTTGCCTGTGTCACAATTCTGTTGGTAATTTGGGACACTGGGGTTCGATCCAGAGGGTGTGAGGGCAGCAGGAAGGGACCTGCTCATCTGGGTGGTTAAAAGGAATCTCTTGGAGGACGCTGGGGTATGGCCATGGTTTGTCTAGCTTCGGGGTTCATTGGCACAGCCCTGCCTTCAGGTGGCAAAGAGCCATGGAGTAGTGTATGGCTGTATAGTGTCCAGAAGACTGCAACTCCTGGTGGAACCTACGGCTGCTGCTGAAGAGGTCAGTGGTGGATATTAGGGGACACATGGATCTCTTGATGGAACATCTCCAATTCCCCAGTGCTGGGCCAGGAATTGCTGCTGCAATCAACAAAGTTGTGGCCTCGTATTCCAAAGAAATTTGCATTTTCTTCTTGGTTTGATGGCACACAGACAGGTACCTACACAAAAACTCCAACCACCACCCACGGCAAAAAAGAGGCATAATCAAAACACTGGTAGACCGTGCAAATTGGAACTGTGAAGCTCAGTTTCTCAACACTGAACTCGACCACCTGAATTGGGCCCTACAGGCAAATGGCTACTCCAAAAATGAAATCACAAGAGCCATCAAACCAAGAAAACAACACGGAATTGAAGAAGAAAAACAGCCACCCACAAACAAAGTATTTCTGCCATACATCAAAGGGGTCACAGACCGCATGGGGAAATTTCTGGAAAAACACAACCTAAAAACAGTATTCAAGCCCACCACAAAAATACAACAAATGTTATGGTCAGCAAAAGACAGAAGGGCCCCCCTCACCACTGCAGGAGTATACCGGATACTTTGCAGTTGTGGCTAGGTATACATTGGAACCACAAAACGAACCATCCACACCAGAATCAAAGAACATGAGAGACACTGCAGACTAAAACAAACAGAAAAATCTGCAGTAGCTGAACATTCCCTAAAACAAACTGGACATGAAATTCTATTTCAAAATACGGAAATACTGGACAACACCAGCAATCATTACGTCAGACTGCACAGGGAAGCCATTGAAATCCACAAGCACCAGAAAAACTTCAATAAAAAAGAGGAAAGTTTGAAACTCAACAAAACTTGGCTCCCAGCTCTCAAAAATACAGCATGCAAAAGGTCACGAACTCTACCTAACCACAAGATCAAGGGGATCACCACCATCAACCACAGTGACAGACAATCTCCTTATCACAACAATACACACACAACAAAACACACTAATCACCCATCCACAGAAAACAATACACTCGCAACAATACACACTAATCATCCCATCTCACAGCCATAAATACTCCACGCCCTAGCCAAACTACACAAGAGCACAGTTTGCAGTCCTCTGAAGATGCCGGCCACAGAGACTGGTGAAATGTTAGGAAAAACCACCTTCAGAACACAGCCAAGAAGCCCGAAAAACCCCTCAGTGAGAAGCTTTAGAAATCACTTGATTCTAGCTGAGAGATAAAAAGAGCCAGATGTTGGAGACTTTTATCCTTTCAAAGTCTCTATAATTTGCACAAAATTGTTTAGCTTTCTTTCCCTTTGAGAACTAAAGCATGCATGTGTTCATGTGTGTGCACGCATGCAAAAGCACAGAAGGCCTGTCTGACTATTAGGAACAATGCAAAAGCCCATCTAGTATTTGAAAAACCTCAGATAAAATAGAATCCAGCTTAAATTTGGAAAATTTGCACAATTTGACACAGAAACAAGGCTCTCCCCCACCCATAAACACAAAATGGGCAGTTTTCTGCAAAACATTGTTCCTCATTAATGCAAAAATGCTACTGAGAAATTGGAAACATATGGTACTTCCTTTTGCTTATGTGTATGGACAAGACAAGCAGAGACTTACATGTTACTCTATACTTTCAAGTATAATGCTTGTATAGTATCTCTCTCTCAACTCCTTGAAGTTCACCCTGCCAGACCAGAAAGGACACAGCAGAATCTACTGATTATTCTGGAATTTTTGGCAGTCCCCTAGAAGCCTGTATCTGACTGTCTTTTGTAGAAATCAGTGGGCCTTAAATGTGGCTGAATTGTTCCAAATGTTACACTTTTCACGGGAACCAAGAAGCTAGGCAACCCCTGTGAGCATACAGAGCAGCAAACGGGACACCTCTGTTATCTCAGTATTATGAAATGGATAACTCTTATGACAACTCGATACAAATTCCCGATTAAATGCTTTGAAATAAATTGGGATGAAACAGCTGAAAGGAAATACTGCAATCCAGGGAACGTAGTGAAACAATCTTTGACTTGCTTCTCTACTTCACAGTATGAACCACATGCTTTGAAAGTGATACATATTCTTTAAATGCTTTCATAGAGCCACTGAAAAGATTTGCATTCCTTTAAAGCAAAGGCACTCCAGGGCATTTCTTCCAGAGTGAATGTTGCACTAATTTGCTTCGCTGTGTACATGAAGGCTCCCCCACATTCCCACTTTATGTTAGTTCTATAGGGTACTATCAGAACCCTGTAATTCTTCCTTTTCAATGGTCTGAATCAGAACTAACAATCAAGGCTTTATATCTCCTTAATAATGGACTAGAATTTTGGCTCTAGCTGTACATTCATAGCAGTTCTGCCTGTTGCACAACTTGAGAAATTACGTATTTATTCAGGGTTGATTGCTTCCACTCTGCAAGCTCTTGGAAAGGATAAAAGATGTTTCAGAACTGATTGAATTGGATGAATTACTCCTCTTGACGCAAGGCCGAAAGTAACACATCACTATGGGGGGAATGAAGCAACAGAGAAAGTAAGTGTGCTTACTGCATGGATGGGCAAGGACTCTCACTTCATCCACAGCTATGTATCCAGGATGCCCCTTCAATGAAACAGATTCAAATATCACCTGAAATATGTAAGAGGAAAACAAGCTGCTTTAGTATATTCTTTGAATTTCTCTTCAACCAGTCTTTCTTATATAAAGGTCAAATGTCCCAAGTTCCAAATCTGATAAGAGAGATTTGCAATGCAACATATTGGATATTTTCACAGATTAGCCCCTCCCAAACATAAAAAATGAAAGAAGGAAGATAAGTATATGAGTTAATAGTTCACAGATTAAACCATTGGGCTGTGATAACAGGATTGTTCTGGAAACACATCAAACATGGCAGACCTATTTTGAATTCTCTTTTCTTTCATGTCGTATATTGCAATGTAGCTGCTATCCTGAATTAATTATGCTCCACACTTCCTGTTCCTGCCAACCCAAGGGGAGCAGGGACTGTGAAATATATGACACAGTGACACCAGATCAAGAGGTATGTGTTATACATAATAGACAGCAAAGGGGGAACTGTAGAGGATAGCCATTTGGGATTCCTCATACTGCAAAGTGCTGTTCAAAAACATTTGCTGTTCACTCCATTAAGACAAGCACATAACTGGGAATTAAAACGTCATGACCGCTATACTGATAATTAGGTCTGAAACAAGGGTGGGACATCCAATCTGTTTTTTTTAAAAAAAACTTCACTTTTTGACATTTTTCTTTGATAATCTCCTACCACATGTACAGTCTCAGATCAATCCTTAGCTAGAGTTGACATTCTTACTTTTGATAAGTATATATCAAAATGTGCCTGACTGATAAGGTAAGAAACTTGCTAAGCAAACTGCATTAAAGCCAATGCATTTCTTTGTTTTCCATCCAAGTCTTTGACACTAACTATATCTTAGAAAGAGTCATGCAAATGCTGATATTTAAGGTTCTTTAAAACCAGAAGGCTGTGATCAAGCCCCACATCTTAGGTAATCTGTAGTAAGGTGGGGAAGCAATCTTAGAATAGGACTGCTATAGCTCCATGGAAATGATAGGGGAAAGTGTTTAAAAAATGCCTCTGTATCTAAGCTTCAGCTGAGAATCCTAGGATGTAGAATTTTGTGAGATACTTAGAATTGTCTGCTAGACAGCTCTATTGCTATAGTTTGGGGGAATATACTGGCAGTCTCTAGAAAAAAATTCTAAGTGTATTCGTGAAGGCTTTCACGGTTGGGATCTAATGGCTGTTGTGGGTTTTTCGGGCTCTTTGGCCGTGTTCTGAAGGTTGTTCTTCCTGATGTTTCGCCAGTCTCTGTGGCCAGCATCTTCAGAGGACAGCACTCTGTGCTCTGGTCCTCTGAAGTGCTATCCTCTGAAGATGCCAGCCACAGAGACTGGCAAAACGTTAGGAAGAACAACCTTCAGAACATGGCCAAAGAGCCTGAAAAACCCACATCAACCACAAAATTCTAAGTGCTTTACCAAACTATAGATCCTATAATTGTACAGAACGGAGCCATGGCAATTAAGCTGATACAGTGAGTTTCTAAACCACAAATCCCAGTGTTCTACAGAACAAAGTAATGGCAAATGGTACAATGGTATACAGTAAATGGTTTCAAGCAGTGGGTCCAAAACATGGCTGCCAGATTGCTAACTGGGGCTAGTCATAGGGATCACATAACACCTCTCTTACATCAGCTCCACTGGCTGCTGATCTGTTTCCAGGCATAATTCAAAGTGCTGCTTCTAACCTACAAAGCTCTAAATGGCTTGAGTACAAGCTGTCTCCAGGACTGCATCTCTCATTATGAGCCTGCTCTGGGGTTATGATAATCAGGAAATGCCTTTCTCTCAATCTCAGCTTCTTCACAGGCATCTTTGGAGGGGACACAGGAGAGGGCCTTCTCTCTTGCTCTAACCATAGTTCAAAAAGCTAACTTTCCCAAATTCTGTTTTCACTGCAGCAAGTGATTTATTTAAGTCTGTGCAAGGCCTAAAATCCCCAATTATATATGGTTTGAGCACTGGAATGAAAAAGATTGTTACCATAACCAGACTCTGTTGGCATCATTATTGACCCAGATACTCCTGACAGCAAAGCTCAGATCGAGTTCAAAGAACTGCATTTGCACTGAAATGCTGAATCATGGGAAAGTGAGAGAATATATTTAGGGCAGCTGGTAAGAAAGGGCCTTTAGGATACATTTAGCTGGGCTCTGCATGTCAAAAATATCTGCCTCCCTTCTCTGCCCCTCAAATAATTAAATGAGGGTGGAACTAGGCTTTACCGTCATAGGGTTGCTGCCAACAGGCACAGGAGGAAATTTGTTGGATCCACACTTTCTTCCAGAAATAGCCAGTGTTCAGAAGATGTTTACTTGCACTTGCACTGCTTGAGACTGGCAATGGGACAAAAGTACATGTTGCTTGGGAAATAGGAAAGTAAATCTTCACTTCCATCATTTTTCCAGGAGAGAACAATTTTTTTGCATGTCAAAAATATCTGCCTCCCTTCTCTGCCCCTCAAATAATTAAATGAGGGTGGAACTAGGCTTTACCGTCATAGGGTTGCTGCCAACAGGCACAGGAGGAAATTTGTTGGATCCACACTTTCTTCCAGAAATAGCCAGTGTTCAGAAGATGTTTACTTGCACTTGCACTGCTTGAGACTGGCAATGGGACAAAAGTACATGTTGCTTGGGAAATAGGAAAGTAAATCTTCACTTCCATCATTTTTCCAGGAGAGAACAAAAAAAATTAAAAAAAAATTCTCCCACTGGGCAGGACTATTTGGCACAATTTTCACATTGTGGCCCTCTGTTTTGTTTGTTTCTTTCTTATCAAAACGCTTGCAGATTTTTTTCCCCCACAAAAACACATGCAATTCTTTTTTGCGCAGCGCCCTCCCCCCCTCCACAGGTTATTTTAACAACTTGATGCTGGGGAAGGAAAGTGCTGGTCTTCTTGTTCTCATGCATAAACAGAAAACTCTCACAGTCATTACCTAATTCCCTTATTCTTCACAGGCTTTTTTTCAATGAATCTGGACACGCTTTTTCATTCAGGATGAGAAAATATGTGCGCATTCATTAAGCTTTTATAGTGCAATTGATACAATTGTGAGTGAAACTGATACATTTCTGAGGCTCCTGTGTATTTTCAAAATGTATAAAAGCAAGCTTTAGTTACCAGTATGAAAAATCCCCATTAGTGAGCATATCATCAGTATAAATGAATTGCAAAATGTGTATGTATTGTTAACGTACAGAGAAGTATCCACATGAATTTCCATGTTGGAACAATGTTGCAAATAAAAGTCTCAAGGCCGTGTCTGCCATTATGAGCCTGTTCGAGTGTTAAGATCACAAGTGCATCTAATGAGGACACAGGATTCTACGTTGCTGCTCCCAGACTTTGGAACTCCCTCCCACAGGAGGCCAGACTGGCTCCATTTTTTCTGTCCTTCCTCAAGCAGGCAAATATCCTTCTCTTCAAGCAAGCCTTCCTACAGTGACTGGCTGCCTGAGTGGGATTTTTAATTGGATTCTCATGCATTACTGCTTTGTGTTTTTAGTCTTATTTGTGTTTACCATTTCTCAAAGTACTGTAGTATCTGTTGTTTCTTTTAGGTATTTGTATACTCCTTTTTAGCTTTAAATATTGTATTTTAATGATGTTAGCCACCTTTGCACACTCATTATTTTAATGAGGTAAAATATTTTAAATAAATCAGCAAAATTTAATTGATTGATTAATTAATTAATTAATTAAACAAACTTAACAGAGTGCTGTCCTCTGAAGATGCCGGCCACAGAGACTGGCGAATGTTTTTAGTCTTATTTGTGTTTACCATTTCTCAAAGTAGTATCTGTTGTTTCTTTTAGATATTTGTATACTCCTTGTTTTTAGCTTTAAATATTGTATTTTAATGATGTTAGCCACCTTTGTACACTCATTATTTTAACGAGGTAAAAATATTTTAAATAAATCAGCAAAATCTAATTGATTGATTAATTAATTAAACCAACTTAATTAATTAAACAAACTTAACAGAGTGCTGTCCTCTGAAGATGCCGGCCACAGAGACTGGCGAAACGTTAGGAAGAACAACCTTCAGAACACGGCCAAAGAGCCCGAAAAATCCACAACAACCAAATTTAACATCTTATATGGAAGTGGGAGATGGCAAAAATGCTGCTGGGATTCTAAGAAATACAGTGAAAAAGAGATGGGCACATTTCCACATCCCTAGTTGCAAAACAAACAAAACAAACAAACAAACAAAAACCCTTTAACTATTCTCTTCCTTCTTCAGAAACATCCTGTGAAATATCCACTGAAATGGAGAGTCACCAGTATCTGCAAGTGGGACATTTGCCCCTTCTCCAGAAATCCAAGATTTGTTTCATTTTTACTTGTTCTTATTTATTGTATTATTTTAGTACTCATAGGTAGACACAGTGTGTTGCATTAATGCACACTATGTTGGTGAACTGTGCTAGCAGACCGCCGTGTAGGTTGCCCCACCTGGAAATATCCCTGTAGACATTCTTGCTCAGAGGATGCTGGCATGTCACATTGGGACTTCCATATTTCTTCACCACAACATTAGTTGGAGATGGAGAAGTCCACAGCATGAGGTTAAATCACTGCCTTGTGAGGTTTGTTAGATATTACACAGGAGATGGGGAGAACAGATATGGGCAATTTGTTTCCAGCAGCTGCCCTTATGTCTTCTGTAAAATGTGTTTGTTCCCTGAAGATATCTTCTGCAAGGTTTTACAGAAAGTGGTTTTTGCTGCTGTTGAAACATAGGTTAAGACCAGACAATGACCCTCTTGATACTCAATAATGCCCGCCCTTTTTTTTTCCTTGCCAGGTTTCAGAAGCATTAATCTTACAATAAAGTACTGTTTTGCCAATTAAGCTTATGGGAAGCTTAAACGCATTTAAAACAACTGAGTTAATGCTTTTATTACTATTTAGTGTAGAATTATACATTTTATTTTAATCAGTGAAGTTCCTTCCATTTCAAAGAGAAAGTGTGTCACCTTTCTCATTTATAACCTTTCAGTCTTCTGTCAAAATATGATTATGCAGAAAGGATTAATAATCAGAAACAAAACAAATGTGTCTTTCATTGCTAACTCATATGCATAAGCCTAATTAAAAAATAAAAATCACTTCATGTAACACACAATTCTTATTTATTTGGTTGGTTGGCTGGTTTAGACAAGTTTTCAAAAAACATTGCTGTGAATATGAAGTTGTTGCAAAATATCTTTTAGGATTTCAGAAGCCCCGGTAATATGGCTTAGCAGTGACTTTGACATCCAGTTTGGGACAATGCTGAGAGTCAAGGGAAAATGGAAAGCATAAGAGCAGGAGTTCTGGAACCTTCTTATTATTTTATGTTGTTACTGCTGAAGAGGCTTTCATTCCTTTCTATATAATCTGTTTGGGCATACAACCTGATGATACAATAGCATATTTCCCCCCTCCCTATATCTGTAGGCTGCATAAAATTTCATAGAACTGCACAAAATGAAAAAAAAGAGAACCCTTTTAATTTCAACAGCCTATGACTTCACTCAGATGATACTGGCTGCCATTATCTCCATCGGTGGTCGAATGTGGGTTAAACAATATGTTAGATTAATTGTGTGAATATGATTAACATGTTCATTTTCTATTGAAATCAACCACAAACAACCTTTGAAATGCACAAAGCAACTAACAGACTGGACACTTGTCAAGATTATGGCATGGAAAGATTGGAAAGGAAATTAAACTCCATATTCTACCTCCACAAGCAAAAAGCAATTCAGACTGGATTTATATAATTTTATATATATGTTAAATATGGTTTTATCTCTTTGAACAAGTTTGTAAGCAGTCTTAAGCACTATCTTTTTAGTGGACACAGTATAAATGTAAATACTAGTACTACTAATAATAATTTATTTACTTATTTAACAAAACTGCTCACATTAATTGAATACATGCATTTAATACCACTTTTTAATAATAACCAGATGTTATTAAATGAATTCTGACTAATGCCAAACCTTTCCAGAGTTTTCTAGGTATAGAGCAGTGGTCCCCAACCTTGGGCCTCCAGATGTTCTTGGACTTCAATTCTCAGAAATCCTGGCCAGCAGAGATGGCGGTGAAGGCTTCTGAGAATTGTAGTCCAAGAACATCTGGAGGCCCAAGGTTGGGAACCACTGGTATAGAGTACTCAGAAATGTTTACCATTCCCTTCTTCCAAGGGCACTCCAGGATTGGGCACCTTGCCCAAGAGAATGCAGTTTGGCTCTTCTCCTTGGGAGGCAGACACTGAGCAATCCAGCCAGCTAACATTCAGCATTATAGTTTTCCCTATTAAAATTTCTCCATATTGTATCTCTCCTCATTCCTTACAATATAAATGCAATTCACTATTTGGTGTGGGGCTACAACTTACTGTAGAAACTTTGCTTAAACCCTTTCATTCACAGAATCTGTGCCTTCCAGGCCACTTGACTGATTCATGTAATATAGTGGTTCTAAAATTTGTCCCAATGCAACTGTTTTGGCTGTGCAAAGCGGGACACATGTCACAGAAATAAGGGGACCCGACTTAACAGGCCACTCATTTGTGGCCAGAGTGGCAGCTTGGGCGATGAGGGAAGCCACATGGTGCTAACTGCACAGCTTGCTGGAGTGTGTATCAGGGGGGCCATGACACAGCAGCCTCCCATTGGTCAGCTCTTTGGCTTAAAACTGGAGCCACTGTGGCCCCCCAGCCGGTTTGTGGCTCATTGGCCTTAAAGTTGTATCCTTTCCTTCCAGAAATGTGCCAGTGTGTTTAATTATGGTTAGACATGTTATACACCCCATGCTTGCTCAGCCCTAGGCCAACAATATAATTTTGAGTGTTTATTCCCCCCCCCCAGACACTTGAAACTACATATAATTCTGCTTGCAAGCTTATTCCTAATATATATTTCAGCTCTAACATTTTGCCTCTTTACAAAAACAGACATATGGGGTGGGGAGTAGGAACTCTGCTTTTAACCATCGCAGATTGATTCAGTGTATGACTGTCTTTTACTGAGAAACAGGAGTGTTATTGTGCATGGAGGAAGTTCTCTTTAACACCTTGGGGGAAAGAGCAAAGTGGTTATCAATAAAGAATTACCAACGCACTGGAACCAAACAGCATCAATGGAACAACTGAGTGAGTAGGAGGGATGGGGAAATCTTAAACGTACCTGATAAAAATGTGGCCAGAATGTGCTGATAGCAAGTTCTGCCTTCACCCAACCTTCTGTAACAATCCCAGAGACATTCCAGACAGGATTGCCTTGAGGTCCACCATTAACTTTCACATAAACATTCAATGATCCAGGGCTGGAGCGGTCTCGGCTGGATAAGTAGTAATGGAAGTCAATGCAGTGTGTATCATTCTCTTTCAATGTTGGTAAAAGCAAGTGAGCTTTTTGTCCAGAAGCCCTCCCAGAGCTATTCACCATCATGAAGGAGCCTAGAGATAAAAGAGAGGCAAGAAAGGGAGACAATAGAATGGAATATAAGGACGGTGTTCACTTTTACTCCCCTCAAAACAATTCTATGATGAGGACCAATATTTCTAAACAATCTGCCCCAGCAATCAGAAACAAAACAGGTATGCATCTCAAAGAATTCAAGCCTATTATTTTATGCCGGCACTTATCTAAAAAGACAAGACATCAAAATTACACGAGTGACAAATAAATTTGCACCCACCATCTATAGCATCAGTTAAAGAGGGTTATTTATTACTATTTTCAATTTTCTACCCCAGATTTCAAATTGGCTGACAGTAAAATATTCACATCAAACATGAAAAGCATACGCATTTCTTCCTCGTTCCACTTAACTCTTATCAAGGGACCAGAGCTTCCCATTTGCATATATAAGCATATTTAGCTTGCTACCTTTATAAAATATTCACATCAAACATGAAAAGCATAAACATTTCTTCCTCGTTCCACTAAACTCTTATCAAGGGACCAGAGCTTCCTATTTGCATATATAAGCACATTAAGCTTGCTACCTTTATACAGTTCGAAAGCATGTAAAAATGTGAGTAGATAAATAGGTACCACCATGGTGGGAAGGTAACAGCATTCCATGCCTAATCGCGCTGGCCACATGACCATGGACACTGTCTTCGGACAAACGCTGGCTCTACGGCTTGGAAACGGGGATGAGCACCGTGCCCTAGAGTAGGACACGACTGGACTAAATGTCAAGGGGAACCTTTACCTTACCTTTATATTAGCTCCGAAATCATTGACAACAATGAATTATTGAAAAAGTACTGCCTTCTCCATCACGCAATAATAAAAGAAAGCACAGGAAACGCTAGTAACATAACATGATAAATTCATTTGAACTTCTTCCCCTGTGACTGTACTAATAATATACAGCAGTAGTAAATTAATGCATTCCTACATAAATTACATTACAAATAATGAGATCATTAAATTAATTGTATTTAAAGTGTTGGAGTTTTGTTTGAAACCTCAGGTATTATCTGCAGTTTGTGCAACTGGGAGGCAGTTTTCTGGGATGAGGTGACTGTACAGTATATCTATCTAGCACTAACCAATTGTTCATTCCAGCATTTGGATTCAAAGAGAGCTCCACTCTCTATTGAGTGTGCTTTTCCTCTCTCTTTCCTCATCTGGCCTCAGTTGTTTGTTTGCTCTTGATCTATTTAGTTGGTTGCTAAGTTTGTGTGCAGTAAAAAAAACAGCATATGTAAGCCTGTAATTTCAAGTATCTGTAAGTAAAGAAACATTTTTATTTTTTCTCTACTATAAATGTCTCAGAGTAAGTTATTGAGACTTTAAGTGTCAGTTATGAGAAAGGGGTGGACTGTGCTGAACTTGCAGCCATTCCTCTCTGTGAGGCTGTACTTCTGCTGTATAGCAAAAAAGAATTTTAGCGGAAATTCAAAACTCCTCAACATAAAGAACACGCTCCGTGGATGTGTGCACATATGGCTTCAGGAAAACTAGCAAAAATAATGAGAGATGTGAGAGGGGACTGGAAGAAGGAGGAATCTTTTCATTGCAGCAGTCAGGCATAGTAATTTTTAATCAAATGCAGCCCTCCTGACATTCTGAGTTCCATGCTGCTTGCCAAGTCATGCTACAAATGTATTTCTCTGCTGCCTCTCTTGCACTTCACAGAAGATTGAGTTTGGCAAGGCTCGCCTCACTTCTAACCTACTGAAGTTTGCTTTCTTTTGTTTTGTGTGCCATATTGCAGAAGTGTGACAGACACCCGGATGAGCCAGATACTCATTCTGATCAATTCTGCTCAGTGAGCAGCCATATGCATTATAGTTAGAGGAAAAGACACTGGCAGCCTTTGCCTAGA